AGAGTTCATTGCTGCACTGATCGACAGTGACTTGATAATGTGGGTAAATGTAGTAACCACATTGTTTTTTCATGTGAAACCTTCATAAGAGTGTATATCAATCAAACCTTAATAAATAAAAAAAAAAAGAACCCTAGAGTTGAGAAAAGTGAAGTCCTGTATCCCATACCAGTGGTGGACCCAGATGTTGTATCCAGGTCTCCTAATCACCAAAATGTACGCAATGGGGTCAAAGTAAATACAGGGTACAGGAAAGATTCAGTGACCAGATTCTAAATAGACGCAGGCTAATCAAAAAGATGAGCTGAAGTGGGGGCCTTTGTCTCTGGGTCCCCAGGAGAGAAGATCCAGAGAGAGGGGATCAGTGTCTGTCCACTTGCAGGCTATAGGCCTTGTCGGTCACCTACAGCAGTGTTTAAAACTCCGGTTTCTTCCTGGATTTGTGCTGCTCTTCTCAAATGTGAGACACATGACCTCTTGGATCTTCCAGCTTATGCAGCAGGAAGATGGCAGAGGTGGGGAAGAGGTGAAATAGATGTTCAAGTGTTCAGAGTAAATGATGATAGTGTAGGACAGGAAGAAGCTTCTAGTCCACCTGCTGTTGCTGTTGGTATACATGTGTGTTTGCTGGGGCGAAGAGGGGTGTGGGGGAAGGAAATGCCAAGCCAGAGAGATCCCTGTGTAGATGATGTTAAGAACTCCACTCACAGCCCAGATGGGCTAATATTTTCATGGAAAGGAGTGCATCCTCCCACTTAGGGACTGAGCTACATAATCAGTTAAAGCTGGACGTGGGTGACTGGCTCGCAGACACTAGAGTCGTGTTTGCACCTCTGGGTCATAGAATCTGTCTAGGGGGTTGCAGCTAGTCTTTGAAAGAGTGAGCTAGATCAGAAAACATCCAAGAGCCTTACACGTAGGAATGTCAGCATTCATTATGAAACTGGTTTTGGTTATACAGTCAACCCTTGAACAACATGGGTTTGAACCACATGGGTCCCCTTATTCGCAGGGTTTTTTTCAGTAAATATACTGGGAAACTTTTTGAAGATTTGCCGCAACTTGAAAAAATATTTTCTCTAGCTTACTGTATTGTGAGATTACAGTATATAATGCATGTAACATTCAAAAGATGTGCTAATAGACTGTGTTATTGGCGCAGCTTCTGGGTCAACAGTAGGCTATTAATAGTGAAGTGCTGGGGGCATCAAAAGTTGTACATGGCATTTTGACTGGGGGGACTAGCCCCTGCATTGTTTGAGGGTCAGCTTTATACTCATGTGCACCTAAGTATTGGCCTTACAAAGTGTATTTTTCACAATGGTCAGAATCAAAGGAGGTTTGAAGCCTCTGACTCAGAAAGTGTGCAGAGGAGGGGGAGAAGGCTTTCTGCGGGGTAAGCTCAGCCCTCTGCAGAGACAACTGCAGGGGGGCTGATGGTTCTCTCTGACTCTGGGGGCTGTCAGGACAAAGAGATAGTTTGTTTACTCCACGTGGCTCTGGAAGGCGGGATTTGCTTTCAAGATGGCATAGATTTTGGCTGGCCAGGACTTACCCCCAGCAGAGCCATCCGATAGCAGAATCAACTCTCCGAGGAGGGAGAGAGACTCTCTGGTCACTGGAGCATGGTCCCCCGAGGGCTTCCAGCAGTCAGGCTTTGGGGCCGGCCCTCAAAGGCCAGTGGGTTCATGGCTGAGGTCTAGTGTGTCCGGCCCCACGTGAGAGGCAGCTAATTTATCTAAACTGGGGAGCAATTCCAGAGACATGAGTCCACGTATCCTGCCTTTGTGTATCACCCACCACACCCCATTTCTAAAGCTCAGCAGCATATTGTGGCTCAGCTGCCTTCTCCAAGGAGCCTGTGGAGTAAGGACCTCAGCCAAGTGCCAGTGGGGAAGGAAATCTATTATTTGCTTCCTTAAAATATGCTTGGGGGAAAAAGGACTTTCTGATATACTGTCTGACTGCTGTACTTACTGCTGATCATGAAGAGTTTATCCTACCAGGGTGAGGTTCAGTTCAATCACCACACAGGTAAGATGTTAGGGATCCATAGCTGAGAATGGTGGAGTGAAAGAGACAGATTTCCTGAAATGCGTTGAGTGGGACCACATACAGACATTTGTAATTGATGGAAAGAATACTCTCGCCTGTATTATTTTTCCTCAAGACAGCTTTGAAAAGCAGGATTCAGTGTTCTCAGAGGCCCCTCCAAGACCCCCTGCCAGTCAGGAGCTAAGTTCACCGGCAAACATGGATTTTAAGGCAGTCCAGCCCATGGTATTCTGTTGCCCAGAGACTCCACCTTCTCTGCCCATTCCCCATACGCCACTCCCTCCACCCCACCCCGCGTACACACACAGCTGGACAGTTTTCTTGACAAGCACATACAGGGGCTGTTTCCACTCCACCTTTATCTCCTTTCTTGCCAGAGAGGTCCTAGTCCAAAGCCAGACAGGCGTGTGGCCTGACAGCGGCCCCTGAACCAAAGGATTCCAGTAAGCAGACAAAATTCATGCCGCCCCATGGCCCCAAAGAAAGTAAGCCACAGGTCTTTAAAAAAAAAGAAAACAAAACAAAACAATTCTGTCTCCTTTAGAGTCCTTTAAGTCCTAAGGAGTCTTTGATCTGGAGGTGGTTTCCATGGGCAAGTGGGACAGCGTTAGAGGGTAGGAGGCATACCTGTAAATGTGAGTAGGAGCCAGCTGGGGTCCACAGTGCTATCCCACACACACAGAAGATCTGTGCCCTTGAGTGCTTGCAAGGCTGACTGTGGGCTTTTGGAGCCACACAGGCCAGAGGCTAAATCCTGATGCCACCACCACTTGCCACTCTAGGGCCACAGAAAAGTTAGCATTAGCTTCCTTGTGTCTCAGATGGCCTGTGTTTGCAGATTTAAGAGAAGCTGAGGTGGCCTGCATAGAGCTCTTGGCACCTAGGAGGGGCTTAGTAAGCCATGGCTTTAATTATTCACTTCTTGTTTACTCATTTAGGCAACAAATAGGTGAAGAGGTAGAACATTCCTTCTTTCCGAATGACCCCTCTGCTGGGTGAGCTCAGTCTAGTAGGACCGTTACACATGACAAGTAATAACTGCATGTGGCAAACTCGGAATGCATTTGAGGTGAGTGCAGCCTGGAAGAGGGTGTGATTAATGACCTGGCAGAGGAAGGACGTCGCTGAGAAGGCTGGAGGAGGGCAGGAAGAAGTTCCCCAGAGAAGAGGAAAGTGAGGGCACGCCCTGCATGCAAAAGCAGGAGGTCAGGAGATCAGGGTGTGTTCAGGAACTATACTGCAGTTTAGACCAGAAGAGGAGGTGCCGTCTCTTCTCTGGGGGATTAGCAAAGTTCTCAGGACATGGGATCCAAATCCTTGTATACCTGTGTGCCTCCTAGAAGAAAGGGTATCTAATCCCTGTTTCAAAGAAAGGGGAGCAGTGATGTCATTGATAAAAACCCACGGCACACAATAGGTTCTGCATGAACGGCTGGTGCCGGGTTGAATGGAGAAGACATTCCAGCAAACGGATGTGGAACTGGTTCATTAGGAGCAGGGCCAGAGGAATGAGAGGAGGGAGAAGAATGGGTGTAGGTGAGGCCCACGTTAAGAATAATCCGCAGGGCTCTGGTAGAATGCATAAGAGGCTGGCTCCACCTGACGGTGAGACTGGACGTGCTGTTCTGGCCAACAGGCTCACACCTCCTGGTCCAGGGCTGGAGATGTCCCTCGTTGGTACCCGGATGAGCATGGGAACCACAAACTGAGGGCCGGGGGAGAGGTTTTCTGAAATGACCATTTCACTAACTTTCTCATGACCTCTCTTTGGAGCACTAGGTGTCAGCCTTGTTTCCTGGGACCTAAAAATAGCCCTCCTCTTGCTGGAGTTTGGTCAGGCCAGATTGTTTGGAAAGAAGTCTCACCAAACCACTGCCTCCCCAGCCCTGCTTGCTCAGAGATCCATGTCAGCAGTCTTGGTGCCCGATAGCAGTGTTCCCAGGGGTGTCAGCCAGGGTCCTGGCCATCGTCCTCTCTGCCCTGTACATGTGTCAGGATTGTCCCCAAATTCAGCCAACACTGAGGCTCTCTTCTAGCCACTGAGAATATGAAAGAAAATAGGATAGTTTATAGGCTCCTGCATTCAGGGAGGTGAAGCAGACAAATAATTGTGATGTAGTGTGATAAGTACAATATTTAAGATTTAGGGCAAGTCCTATAGAAACTCTGAGGTAGCAATAATTAATTCTGTCAAGTGGTATAGGAGGTGAGCTGGGGAAGGTGACATTTCAGTTAGACCATCCATGCACTCATTTATTCAGAAAATGTTTATGGATTACCCCTCCATATGCGGGAGCTGAGCTAAGCACTTGGGGTGCTTCACAAAGCAAACAAAGATGCCTTGTGGCGCTGACCTCCTACGTGCGCGCGCGCACATGCTAGTGTGTTTGGGGGCAGGGCTGGGGGGAGGCGAGCAGACAATAACAAATACAAATGGGTAAATTGTATAGGATGTTGGGAGGTGGTAAGTGATCCAGGAAAAGGGAATGGAGAGTGTGGAAGTGGCTGCAGTTGCCCTAAGGATGCTAGGGTGGGAATTAAAGAGGGGTGGGCCAGTCATTCCCAGTGGCGGTTCTCTTGCTGCTGGTGGACTCTGGGACCCCTAGTCATGGTCTGTTCCTGGCTACTCTACTGAATGACTGAGACTGCATCCCAGTGCAGCCCCTAGCCCACTGCTCAGAGGTGCCTGAATCTAAACCTCACGGAATCTGCCTGTGCCCCAGCCCGCTTCGCCTGTCCTCTTGCAGTCCATTCAGCATGGGGTCCTGGAGCCCACCAGACTAGAGAGAGCACCATAAGCACAGCAGTTCCTCCCATATACCATACAGTCGGAAGGAAAACACGGCCTCTTGTTTCCAGCCAATCTCCAGTTTAAGGAGCCAAATGTCAGAGGAGTGGATCTCTGGCCATGGTCCTGGGGTGGACCTGTGGCCATCAGTAAGTAGGACGCCCTCTCAGCTGTACCCGGTTACATCAGCTAGAATGAGGCAGGAGTGACAGAGCATTTTGGTTCATGTCTTGTTTGATTTTTTGAAAAGGGTGATCCCTGCTCTCATCTGGGGCTCTGAAGTCACACAGCAGGCAGGACTCCTCACTTTGAGTTCTGTGCCCTCTCGATGGCAGTTCTTGCCCGCATGCTGGCTCCTCAGCTCCCAAAGGGGACATGGCCCGGAGCATGCCGGCCTCCAAGGCTGTAGTTCAGACGCTGCACTGCTGCACTTCGGGTGCATTTTATTACCATGTGGTTGTCTGTGGTCATTGGCAGCTATGACAGGGAAGCAGGTGATCCATGGGAAAATGTTCAACAGGCTGCTTTGAAGAAAATATGAAGAAGTGTAAACAAAGAAAGATCGATCACATTTCCACTATCCAAATTTCCACCATCCGGAGCTTCTGCTAACAATTTGGTATAAATCCTTAGGGACGTTTTCCTTCGTGGCTGCAGGTACATGTGCCCACATGCTAGGCTGAATCATACGAAAGCCCTGCTCTGATGAGTCAAAAATGGCCAAATTTTCATTTGATTCAACCAAATACAAGCATATACACAGCAAATACATATTTTAACAAAATGGGGCTATACCGTAATACAGGTTTGTAAACTGATTGTAGCTTTCACTGTGCCGTTGATCTAGAAACAGTGTATCACAGTGGTCCAGGGCATGCGTCTTGGGGTTCAGATTCTGTCTGCTGCTTATTCACCTGGACAGCTTACCAATTCTTGTGCCAGGGCTTCTGCCTTGTATAGTGGGGACAATCACAGCACCCTCTGTAGTGGGATGTTAGGAGGGCAGAAGAGTTAGTTTGTATGTCAAATGCTTAGAGCAACGCTGGCAGAGCAAGCCATGATTATTACCAGGTTGTTGCTAATTATTGCTAGTCTGTTAGCAATGATTATTGTATTTCCAGATGCCCACTGTTAATAGATGTTTTAGCTCTGTCCATTTTCCACTGTTGAGATGACATCCTGTACACACATTTAAGTGCATCCATTTACAGTGTTAACACTTTAAGAATTTGAGGTTTAAGGTTTTAGCTTTTTTTTATTATTATTATTATTGAAATATATTTGACACTTAACATTGCATAAATTTCCAGTTTATAACATGTTCATTTCTTCTCAATTTCTTATATTTATACAATGTAATGTGAAGGCCATGTATTGATAAAGGTGTTAGCTTTGAATTCTTTTGATGTATTTTAAGCTGAGCGGTATACGAGGGATGTGAGAAACACACTCACTGGTCCAAATTCAATAAGTGGACATGGAGACAAAGAGAACAGCAGAGCGAGGCTTGCAAGGCTTTAATGACGGTCTTGCAAGGTCGGGTGTCTGGTGGGCAGGCACACCTGGGGAATTTGGCGCCAGTAATTTATCTCCTAGTGCGTGAGTCCCTCCCCTGGTTCCTCGTTGGCTGAGTACTACAGAGTTCACATTCTTCCCGGACGTCGCCTAAGCCAGTTATATCTTTCTTTTACATTTGTCTTAATTGTATTGGTAGGTTTAAAAAACTCAAACAGGTATCGCCAGGCCCTTATCAATTCCCCCACCCCCCACTCTCAGCCTGAGCAGCTTTCACCACGTGGCCCTTTGTTAATACCTTACTGTTAAAATGTTTAAACATCCTAGTGGGAATGAATCACATTTAGGTTTTATACTCTTTCCTAACACGGGAAGGCGGCCTGGACTGTTCTGTCTTCACAGCTCTGTAAACTGGTCTCCTGTACTTCCTTTGATCCTCATGGCATTTCCCCTCTCCTCTCTTAAGGAAGGCCTCTCCTTCACCCTAGAGAAATAGAAGTGAGAGTTCCCGGCTGCTCTGCTTTCTGAGGAAGTCATATCTCAGCCCCATAGCTGATGATGAAATCCACTTCCAAAATTAGCAACCACCCCTCTCTTCACTTTAGAAAACTGTTTAGCAAATCCTCCCTACCTTGTTATTACTCCCTGGGTTTGGGGCTGGAAATACCCATCAGGGCTCCTGCCTGCCAGCTGGAACATTCCACAGCCTCTCCCGGGTTGACTAGACCCTGCACTGCTCCACTGTCTTCTCTTTGGCTCTGACGCATGTCTGTGAGGCCTATGTCCTGGTTGTGTGAATAAAAACAGCAGTTCCTGGAACTAGGACTTGACCTTGCCCTGTGTGTTCTCTCTGTGGAAATGAGTCTGAATTACCCTTCCCAGGCCTGGAATTCTGGACATAGCTGAGATTGATGGGCCTGAGTCTGGAGTGAGATCTTGGTTCAAATCCTGGCTGTGCTGCTTACTCTCCAGGTGTTCTAACTGGCCAGGCACCACCACTAGCTGGGTAAGTCACTCACCCAATCTGAGACTCAGTTTCCCCATCTCATCAGTGGAGTTAGCTGCCTCAGTATTAAAACAGAGTTAAGTGAAATAATATGTCCGATTGAGTCTGGGATCTATTACAGGCCACGACAGGTTAATTTAGAGAATGAGAGCCTGAACCACAGAGAGGTGGAGACTGTTCTGTGTTTCAGATAAGGAAATTCAAGATCCAAAAGGAATGAGGAACAGGGGCGGAAAAGGAAGGAAATTGAGAGAAGATTGGAGAGGGAATCTGGACATTTGCCTCGTGCTTCCCTTGCTTCCCCCTGACTCCTGTCCCACATGCTCCCGAGCACACACACTAAGTCCCTGGTGCCCACGTCCCCAGGGTGAGCACCTGTCATCCCATCTGGCCTTCCTGAAAGCCGCTTTGAAGAAGAGGAAGGATAGCACAGTGACCATGTGTATCTGAGGAGTGAGTCCATCAAGGCCCAAACCTCTTTAAAGCTGGAAAGGCTGAGAAGAAGAGGAGTTGGTGTGAGGGAAAGTGGGAGGGATGGGGCAGAATGGCCTGGAGGAGAGGAGGCAGAGGGCTGGCCTCGTTTCTTCCTCCAAGTCACAGCAGGATGGGCCTTTCTTGCTGCCCCCAGGCAGGCCCTGTGCCCCCTGGTCCACGCAGCCTGCTGCTTTCCTAGGCAATACTCAGTGGCCCCCTCCCCGCCCTTACTCAGAGTCCCTGACCTTGCTTCCTACTTTTAATGCAAAGAGAAATCCTGAGAAGGCACGCACAACTCTCACCAGCTCATCCGCGGGCCCCTGTGTTCATCCTCTGTGACCTGGTCTGTGACCCCGGCAGAGTGGCCACCTCCTGTTGGCACCAGACCCCCATCCAGCATGTTATAATTCTTCCCTTTTAAAACAAGGAAACCTAGACCCACTGCCTTCCTCTGATGCTCCCAGTGCTTGTCCCCCCAGGAAGCCCCCCCACCCCCGCTTCTTTCCTGAGCCTCTGGCAGGTTCTGCCCCTTTCCACTCTACCAGACAGTTCTGGCAAAGGTCTTGTCTCTTCAGTCCAGAGTCATCTGTCCTCCAGCTGCTTGACTGTCGCAGCATTTGGTACAATCCATCGCCCCCTGTGGAAAGAGGTTTATTCGCGTGGCTTCCAGGATGTCACACTCTCCTGAGTTCTTCCTACCTCATGGGCTGTTCCTTGTGTGTCTACTACTCATTCCCTCCCATCTCTCTCTCTCTTCAGTGTTGGGTGTTCTCAACCTGTTCCCAGACTTCTCATAGGCACTCGTGCCTTGGTAATCTTACCCATTCTTAACTCCCATCTGTGTGCTGACGACTTCCAAATTGATCCAAGTCCAGCCGGCCCATTTATAGCTCCCTTTGGATGTCTGATAAGCATCTCCTATTTAACACATCCAGAAACAAGCTCCTGTTTGCCCTGAGAAGGGAATGTAAATTAATTCAATCATTGTGGAAAGCGAGGTTGCAGAGAAAGGGGAACCCTCCTACACTGCTGGTAGGAATGTAATGCCCCACACCTACTCCTCCCATGGTTCTCTCCACCCTGTTAATGGCAACTGGGCCCTTCTTGTTGCTCTGGCAAATGATTGTGATGCCATCCTTGATTCCTTCCTCAGACCACACAGACAAAACATCAGCAATTCTATCTTCTTGGCCTTTAAAATATACCCCAACTCACTGATACAAGAACAGACCCATAGATCCAGTGGAACAGAATAGATAACCCAGATATAAACCCAAGCATATATGGTCAATTAATATATGATAAAGGAGCCATGGACATACAATGGGGAAATGACAGCCTCTTCAACAACTACTATTGGCAAAACTAGACAGCTACATGCAAGAGAATGAAACTGGATTACTGTCTAACTCCATACACAAAAGTAAACTTGAAATGAATCAAAAACCTGAATGTAAGTCATTAAACCATAAAACTCTTGGAAGAAAACATAGGCAAAAATCTCTTGAATATAAACATGAGCAACTTTTTCCTGAATGCATCTCCTCAGACAAGGGAAACAAAAGCAAAAATGAACAAATGGGACTACACCAAGCTTAAAAAGCTTCTGTACAGCAAAGGACACCATCAGTAGAACAAAATGGCATCCTACAGTATGGGAGAATATATTTATAAATGACATATCCAACAAGGGGTTAACATCCAAATTATATAAAGAACTCAACATGCCTCAACAACCCAAAAAACAAATAACCATATTAAAAAATGGGCAGAGGATGTGTACACATAATTCTCCAAAGAAGAAATCCAGATGGCCAACAGGCCCATGAAAAGATGCTCCATATCACTCATTATCAGAGAAATGAAAATGAAAACCACAATGAGTTATAACCTCACACCAGTTAGGATGGCCACCATAGAAAAGAACAGCAACAACAAATGCTGGCGAGGATGTGGAGAAAGGGGAACCCTCCTACACTGCTTGTGGGAATGTAAATTAATTCAATCATTGTGGAAAGCAATATAGAGGTTCCTCAAAAAACTAAAAATAGAAATACCATTTGACCTAGAAATTCCACTCCTAGGAATTTACCATAAGAATACAGGATCCCAGATTCAAAGACAGATGCACCCTATATTTATCACAGCACTATTTACAATAGCCAAGAAATGGAAGCAACCTAAGTGTCCATCAGTAGATCTATTGATAAAGAAGATGTGGTACATATACACAATGGAATATTATTCAGCCATAAGAAGAAAACAAATCCTACCATTTGCAACAACATGGATGGAGCTAGAGGGTATTTTGCTTAGTGAAATAAGCCAGGCAGAAAAAGACCAGTACCAAATGATTTCACTCATCTGTGGAGTATAACAACAAAGCAAAAACTGAAGGCAGAAAACAGCAGCAGACTCTCAGAGCCCAAGAATGGACTAACAGTTACCAAAGGGAAAGGGACTGGGGAGGGTAGGTCAGAAGGGAAGGGTAAGGGGATTAAGGGGCATTATGATTAGCAAACATAATGTAGGGGGGCCCAGGGAAGGCAGTATAGCACAGAGAAGACAAGTAGTGACTCTGTAGCATCTTACTACGCTGATGGACAGTGACTGCAATGGGGTGTGGGAGGGACTTGATAATATGGGTGAATGTAGTAACCACACTGTTTTTCATGTGAAACCTTCATATGAGGGTATATCAATGATACCTCAATAAAATAAATAAGTAAATAAACCAAAATGTACCCCAACTCTGTCCGCATCCTAGCACCTACACCACCACCAGCCTGGTCTGGGCCACCATCATCTATGACCTGAATTATTGCAACCACTTCTTCATTGTTCTCCCTGCCTCCATGCATGTCCCTGCAGCCTCTTCCCAGCACAGCAGCCAGAGGGATCCTCTAAAATAACAAGTCTGGTCATGTCACCCCTAAGCTCAGAGCCTCCCAGTGGCTCCTGTCTGGCTCAGAGCAAAGACTGGTCCTTTCAGTTCCCATGAGTCCCCTTGTGATTCGGCCGCTCCCACCTCTGACCTCTCAGCTCCAGCTGCACTTAAGCCCAGTTATTCCATGTACCTGCCAGGTGGGCTCTGCCTGGCACTTCTTCCCCTAGGTGTCTGCCAAGCTTGCTTCCTCATCACTTTCAAATGTGTCTCTCTCTCACCTTCCCTGATGACTGTGTGAGGTGGTGATACCAGCTTAGTGTACCCAGGCCCATCCTTAGCCTTAAAGCACCTATCTCCATCTCATGCACATCTGTTTTAGTCATTTGTTCACTGTCTCTCCCTCCTGCAAGAATTTAAGGTCCATGGGGCCAGAGACATGTTTTGGTTCACAGCTATATTCCTAGAGTAGTGCCTGCACAATAGGCCTTCAAGAAATAGGTGTTGAGTGGATAACTGAAGGTGAAAACAGTTGGGAGCAGTTGTCCCTGAGTTTAGGGAAGACCAGAAGAGAGATGAGTGGCCCCTAAGAATCCGTCTTCCACAATCAGGCAAAATATAGAAATAGGTGACAGAGCAGGGTGGTTATCTTTTGGAAGAAAATAGGTGACCATCTGTACTGGGCCAGTTCTATAGTTAGCTAGACTTCATGGGAAGAGAGCTATTTTTCTGAGCTTTATGTAATATGTGGTTTTGTGTAAATCACACTTCTGTAAAGGGGATCCTATTTTAAATACCCTAGCAGAGATTGCTATTTAAAGGGAGCTAATGCCAGTTTCTTTGGTAAAATGAAAAATCTCCAAATTTGTCCTTAGTGTCAATTCATATTTCACCCTACAAAATTTACGTTAATTTAAATCGGGACTTGTCTAAGCTGAGGCGAGCTCCTTCTCATTTTCCCTGTCTTTATTGTTTGCCTTCTCTTTCTCCTCGTTTATCTCCTCTTCATTCTGCTTTGCCTTGAGCTGAGTGTTTTTCCTTTAGGCTCAGGTATACAGTGTTCTTCTGTAATATGACCAGAATCAGAGAATGTGATGGGCAGTCACTGCTTCCCAGAGCAAATGAGTCCACTCAGTGCAGTAAAGGAACCAACTAGGGGTGCGTGCTGCCTAGTGGGAATACAGGGCTAAGTTCCCAGGTGATATTCACATATACCATGTTTGGGAACCACTGGCCAAAGATTCAACCGTGTACTGCTTACACTCTGCAGAACTGACTGGAGGCTCAGCGAGCATCCCTTTTGAGGCTTTACAGGACTGGCTGATTTGCGGCTGGAGTTGAGGTCTCAGGAATATCCCCCTCAGCATATCACCCACCCTGGTGATATCT